ACAGAGCAGAATAGGTTGTTGTGAGGTCCAAGGATTCATTCCCTAGGTCCCAGTACTGAGGCTGTGCTGGGACTGTGCTCAGGTTTTGGGGCAGACCTAGCTCAGATCCTGTGGGGACTGAGCATGTGGGCAGGGCCCAGGGGCAGCACTTGTGCAAAGAGTGAGGCAGGGGGGCAGGAGAGGGGTCCAGGCCATGGTGGGGAAACAAAGAGCTCTGCCTCCTGTGACCCAAACAAAGAGCACTGTTGGGTCCAGGCCCTTCCAGGGGCCTTGAGTCAATGAGTGTTCGAAATTATGTAAAGTCCCTCCACTTCAGGGACTCCTAATTGACAAACCAGTGGTGAGATCAGAACATGTGACTGAAGAGGAAGACGGTAGCCTCCAGCATCCTGCAATCAGCTATCAGGTAAAAAGAAACAGCCTTGGCTTCCAGTTTCTGGGATCAGTCACCTTCTTGGGGTCAGGCCACATGACAACTATCTCACACAAGTGTGTTGGAATCAGTCCTTGGCTCCCACCGTGGTCTTTCAGGTGCCTGGCTATGGGGCTGGGTCAGGTCCTCTAAGACACACAGACAACACGTGATTCAGGGAAAGGTGTTCCTGTGGCCTCATTACCTTCCTCCTTCTGCTTCACGTCTCCTCTGGCTCCGCCAGACCCAAATGGTCCCAAAGTTGGCATGTCATTAGAATGTGGGACTTTATCCTTAGAATCTTCGTCTGTCATTTTGTCTGTGAGATTCACTTGTTCAACAACACCTGTGGTCAGGTGCAGTAAGAGGCCATTTCCAGGTACTAAGTCAGTTTCTCTTGGCAGCCACTTGGCACACTAAGGGGCCTGCAGGAGGAGGCTGCTGAAGTAGGGACAGGTTTGTCACAGTTGTGCTCAGCCCCGGGGAACTCCCCAGTTCACCTGGGGGCTGAGGCCACTCAGGGAAGTGATTGTTACCCTCCCATTCCCCCTTACCACCTAAAGCCACAGGGAGACTAGGATGCTACTTGTGGCTCTGGTCCTGGTCTCCTGTCTCGTCCCCCACGGATGACCTGTCCCTGCTTTCCTCAATGCTCCACAGACTGGCTGAGCTGAGCAGGAGCATGAGGGAGAGGTACACCTGACAGGAAAGGGAGATTCGGAGAGGCATGCAGGTCCCCAGTCTCTGAGAGGCAGAGAGAGGAGCAGGGGCTGGCAGGCGCAAGGCAGCAACAGTCACCTGCACCAGGTGAAGAAGGCCGCCCAGGCTGAGAGGGGATGTGGGACAACCTCAGTCAGAATGTTCCAGGTCCTGAAGGAGACAGCTTCTTCTTCTCGCTTCTGCCAGATACCGGTTGTGGAGGGGGCACTGCTAAAGTTGACCATGGGGCCCCCTGAGGACCAGGGAGATGCCAGCCCATTCATTGTCATGTGATGAAAATGGGTGAAGTGAGAATCTCCAGATTATTGTTCTCTAGAGGGACTTTTCATGATCCTTTAACCTGATAAATCCCTGGACATATTATTTTGGTCACAGGGATTCCCACTAAACATCTTCTTTGTAGTTCATCATGTCAATAAGTAAATTTTTGATAAAGATTCTAATTGTACATGCCGTACTTTGGTGAGGAGAAAATTATTTTTTAACCTATGTCTCCCATTGCCATGAAGGTAATGCTCTGATTCAAGCCAGAGGGGAAATTGCAGAAGCTTCTGTTTTTCCTTATTAATTCCTTATTAATTCCTCATACAATGGCTCTAAAAATCAATTTCAAAACCATACATCAAAGAATCATGAAGAGAAATTCAGCTTATTCATTCATCTTTCCTTTCAGAGTGACAGGCGCGGCCCAAATACAGGCACAACCTCCATGCAGGGTCAGCGTGGGCATGGGTGTGAGGCCATGTGGGTCAGGCCTGAGCTAAAGGTGAGGCCTGCCTGGTGCAGGTGATGGGATTGGGGCAGCGGGAGGACATGGCACCAGGAGAAAGACCCCAGGTGGGACCCACAATGGTCTGCACTTCCTTCACGGTTTCTGTAAAATCTAAGGAAGGAAGGGCCTGGGGCAGGAGGGGCCTGGTCCCCTTTGCAAGAGGCGTCAGGCAGCCCTTGATGATGTGTGGACACCTTATCCAGGAACCAAAGGAGACGCTGCCCTGTGGCCCATTCAGGCTGTCTGTACCCAAGGGAAGAGGAATTCCTGCAGGACTGTGCTGAGACAGCTGTCTCCCCTCCTAAGTGACATGTGATTACATCTGGGGCCCATGTGATGTATAATGACATCCTAAATCTTTATCACCTACTGTAAATCCTGACTCCAGCTCCCATAGTCATACTAGCCCCCCACTCTGCCACTGTTCAGTAGGATAAACATAGACCAGAGGACAGAGAACTGCTAGAGTCGCCCACAGTGCAGGGCCTGCGCCAGGACCAGGGAGGACACCTACCCGATCCTAAGTCCTGACCAGCAGCTGCTCAGAGGACAGGTGAGAGTGAGAGCCAGGCCATGGTAGGAGGGTTTGTGTCCCATCCCCATCCTTCTGTGTCACCTTGAGTCACTGAAGACACACCCACTGCCATGGTAAGTGGCACAGCAATGGTCAGCCTTGTCCTGGCCCTTAGTTCTGGTCAAGCTCAGGGGGGCCATGTCCCAAAGTTCCATCCTCAGAATTGGACCCCGATGGTCACTCTTATCTGTCTATATAACCAGCTCAGGGACAAGCTTGTCTTCTGTTGGTACCAAGAGAGATGTTCACTCCTGAGCTCATTTGCAGAACAGGGGATCCTGGGCCTGCTTGGGGCCACTGACAGGGGGGGTCTGCCTCAGATCAGGGGAGGCATCGAGCCTGTAAGAAAGGAGAGGAGAAGGGGCTGGAGGAATAAAGGGAGGCTGAGTCAGAAATCACTGGCCAAGCCCTTAGGGGAGGGAGCAGTGTGGACACAGGGGATTGCAAGGCCTGACGCCGTGGACCCAGGATGGGAAGGAGAGCAGGGCACCTGTGCCTCACACTGTGGCTCCCTGTGGGCCTCTCACCTGTGCTGGGAGCAGCCAGAGAGCAGGAGTAAGGCCACACAGAATGTGGTCCTGGGAGGATCAGCACCACAGGCCCCCTGGGAGCTGTTCTACATGCAGATGCCCGGGCCTCACCCAGACCTGCCGTGCCTGCAGCTGCATCTTGTGGAGACCCCCCCACCCCCCTCCTCAGGGGACTGTGTGCTCACTGAGTGTCACAGGCTAGAGATCTCGACCATGGTTGAATATCTCATTCCTCTGTCTATCTCCCTAGGTCCTACCGGGCCCCCTGGGACATGGGGCAATACAGTTTTACTCTGGTCACGTAAGCTTGGTACAGATTGTAGTGATGTGTAGTGCTGTGGAGAAAATGGGTTAAGAATGGACTCTTTCACCAGCCACATGGAGTGTGTGCTGTGGATGTGGTGAGAACCCAGGGAATATGGACTGCTCGGCTCTGGAGGCCGAGAGTGTGTCTTGTCTGCTTTAGGCTCCTCCTGGAAGTGAATCATCAGGAAAAGTGCAGGGCACTGGCTGGGGTTATTCATGGTACTATCACAGGGGAGCTGCGTTTCTAGTGCACAATTGGGGCAAGAAGGGTGTGTAAGGATTCAGAAGATCCCCTAATACTCCCTGCATCTGCATTACAGTCATAAATGCACCACAATCCAATTCAGCAGGTATGATAATGAACTAACTTTCCAGAATGAAGGTCTAGTCCTATCAATGGGCAGTGATGGCAACTAGCTCAGGTATTTGCTGTGGGAAGGAGATATGGGGTGAATAGTGAAGAAAGACATTATAGACACCCCTCTGAGCACAGGGTAGTCACAGAAATGAGCAGTATAGAAGTAACGTGCTTCTTCCTAATGTTGTAGGATGTGTTTAGATATATATTGACCATAAGTTTGTTTTGTTCTCCTCTCTCATCCCATTATCACATAACATAACATCAGATGTGTTCACAAATAGTTATATCTTAATATTGAAGGTATACAATATCAAATCATCTGGGACAAAAATAAATTTCCCAGCAGAGAAAAATGTATTTTGTATCCTCTTAAAGGCTGAGCACATTTGTGGGGACTGGACATGCACATTGGGGATCTGGGGGAGAAACCCTAGCTCTGTGTGTATACAGTGGCCTCTTCAGGTCTGAGAGGATCCTGTCAAGGATGCTGGCTATCCTGGATTGGGTTCCTGGAAGCTGACATTGAGATGGAGAAATGCATGTGCAGGAGATCTGGAAGGAAGAGGGAGGTCAGACTGGGCAGAAGGAGAAGTGACCCACACGGAGTGAGACATCAGATGAAGCCTCATTCCTGCAGGGAGCTCCAAAGCTGGGACCTTTCAGGACATGTGAAAGTGGGGCAGGGCCTTGGCCTCTAGGCCTCAGGAGATTATTTAACTGAACCTCTCGGAGAAGGGACATGAACGTGGGGAGGCAATTCTCTGAAGCAAGAGTCCTTGGCAGTGAGGAGCACCCCTGTGAGCTGTCAGAGGCTCCAGGCAGTAGTGGGTGGGTGTGTGAACCCAAAAGACAGGGTGTGGGTGACCCCATGGTGTCTACTGCACTCAGGTGAAGGTGACTCCACACATGACACCAGGGCTTCAGGACCTCAGGTGAGCTGGGAAATTTGGGGCTCTAATCCTTGTCAGTTGTGAGAGCAGTAGCCCACAGCCACCACATGGAAGTGCAGAGATAATGAGCCCTGGACGAAAGTCTCCCTGTGTCTTTTCTCCACCCAGGCCCTCTGTCCGCAGTTCACACCCAGGCCCCAAGAAGCAGGGAAGCCTAGTGCTGTCAGCTGTAAATGCACTCCTGACCCTCCCTGTGCAGAGCTTCCTGGAGATTGGATGGGGAGGGAGGTGGGGGAAATTCAGATCTGGGGACCTGGACCAGATCTGCTAATTGCTTTGTGTACAGGTCTCCAGGGGCTTGGAGAGAGCATGACAGAGATGGGGAAGAGGTTTGTGTCTCACTTCCCCATCTGCCTGTGTCACTGTGAGCATTACCACTGTCCCACACCTGACAGTAATAGTCAGCCTCGTCCTCGGCCTGGGCCCCGCTGATGGTCAGGGTGGCCGTGTTCCCCGAGTTGGTGCCTGAGAATCGGTCAGGGATCCCTGAGGGCCGGTTGCTGTCCTTATAGATAATCAGCACAGGAGCCTGGCCTGACTTCTGCTGGTACCAGTAAGCATAATAACTTCCAATGTTGTTTCCTCCACACGTGATCCTGGCCGTCTGTCCCAGGTTCACTGCCACTGATGGGGGCTGAGACAGCTCATAGGAGGCCACGGAGCCTGCAAGAGAGAAGGTGAGAGGTGGGTTTCCAGCCTGGGGTGTCATCCCCTGAACACTCCCACCTGCCTGGCTTAAGCTCCAGTGATTCTCTAGGCCCCAGTGTCCACTCTGCTGTCATCTTAGTCCCTGGGGCCCATGGGCCCGCCTGGTGGATGGAGCCTTTGAACCAATGAGAACCACCCCCCTCCTTTCCCTGGGCAGGTGCAGCCCTTCAGGGCTCACACAGATCAGTGAGCACAGTGGGGGGCTATCACCCCACCAGCCCCCCATCCCACAGCAGGGTCTTGAGTATCCTAACCCCATTGAGACTCCCCTGCTGAGCTCAGAGTCAGGACCAGGCTTGTCCCGGAACCCTGGGCCTGGGGTGGGTGTGAGCCTGGGCACAGCACCTGTGCAGTGAGCAAGGAGGCCGAGGAGGAGAGGGGTCCAGGCCATGGTGGAGGTGCCTCGATTCTGTTCCCTGAGGTCCTGAGGCTGGGCAGGGTTCCTCCCAGGCCTGACTTATCCCCTTGCTGGAGACACCTGCTGTTCATGCAAATCAGCCAGGGCTAGGGGATGCTGCTGAGGAGACTTGAGGCTTCAGAAATGGGCTCAGCCTCAAGGGACACACAGATGGGAGGGGCAGCCTTTCAGATCCACTTTCAGCCCAGGGGATTCTGCTTCACCCTCTGAGCCCATAGTTGGGGTCCACAACTGCATCCCTCTCCTTGTCCAGGCTCCTGGTTGGGTGTGGTCACAGCAGAGCTCAGAGTTGGAGTCTGCATTTTCTGAACTTATTACAGAATGTTTACTCTTTAGGTGACTGGAGAAACTTAGGTCAGTGAAGTGTCCTACCCCAGTTCTGTGTTGGGGAACTTCAGAACCTGAACAAAATTTCTCCCTTGTCTAGTGCACGTGGAGTTTTGAGGAACCATTGAGGTGCGGTAGGAATGTGTCCTGATGGAGAACTTCTGGGACAGGTTATCCATGCTATGCCTCAGTATCCCCATGGTGTACTCAGTGTCAGGGACAGACCCAGCTTGAGGAAGTTTTGATTGAGTTTACCAGGTATGGGCCGGGCTGGAGAGGCAGGAATTACTGGATCTGTGCTAGTAATAGAGGCAAGTTCTATAGAAGTCATATCTGAGAAACACTGAGTCAGAATTTTACATCACTGTCAAAGCTGATACTGTAGAAACCTATGCCTTTTTCTTCTGATCTCAGGTCATGGTGACCCACCTTCCCTCCTGTTAGAACACCTGATGCCCAGACCCTCCCCATGTGCAAGTGGCTTTGCCAGATGATCTCTGCTGCCCCTTAGTGACCCCTCCACATTGGCTGCTTCAGGAACAGGGAAGTCCCCTGTCCAGGTGGAGATGCAGAACCCAGTGCTCAGTCCTGTTTCCCTGATCCCTGGACTGCTGATCCCAGGGGAGGAACTGCTCCTTTCTGTAGGTCCCTGTCAGCCTCAAGACCAGGCAGGAGAAGACCAAATTATCCATGAAAATAGAAACAGCCTGATGTGAGGAGGAGAAAGCAGGGCCCATCTGAGGTATCATTGCTTATATCTTTGGGGTGATGGTTGATCACGGGTGTGGTTCCAGGGTTTGGCACCACAGGTGACACAGCATTTAGGAACTGTGTCTTACTGGTGCTGGCTCCTGGTACACAAAATAGGGTGGTGGTGGCTACCGCTCCAAAGACAGACACAGAGAACACTCACCCAGCCATCAGTTATTCAGATTCACTTGGGTTGGCACATTCTGTCCTGAGAAAGGAGTGTGAACAAGACCGAGGTCTTGCTCAGTTACCTTCCTGTGTGTGGAGCAGCACAGTGGACACATTTGGTGATGCAACAGACAGTCTCCAAACCCTTCTACCTGTATCTTGTCTCTATGTTCATTTAGAAGCCACACCATTACTATTCTCAAGTCCCTCTTGTCCAAGAGTGACCTTGTGGGCCAGATTTGGCCCATGGATGTGTCAGTAAGCTGGGGTCTTTTCTGGGGACTTTTCTTCTTGTGAATGATAAAGCATACCAGATATGCAGTGAGTGCCTTTCCTCTTTAACATGGGTGTGGTAGCTAGAGCTGCAGCAATCATCCCGAGGTCTGTTGTCAACATCAGTGAAAAGCAAAGCCTCCATAAGCAGTAATGGTGGGACAGAACGTGGGCAGAGGTGGGACCTCACGGAATTGCTGACTACCTAGAGAAATGCTGTCTGACTTCAAAGTTGTTTCTGTGAGAGAAAAATAAGTGCCTGAATGTTCATGCCTCTGTTTGAGATGTGCATGTACTGCATTAAGAACTTTGCGACCAGTTAGGATAATTAACACAAAACTATCAGTTAATAAATATAGTGTTAGGGGAACATGTGTCATGTTGGATGATGTGCAGATAATGAATTGCACTGAGACAACGTGACAGGCAGGTGCTGTGTGGTGAGAGCCTGGAGGAGGCCTCTCTGCAGAGGTGACCTTGGAGTTGCTCAGAATGGGAAGAAGGAACAGTTTAGTTTAGAAGAACTAAAGAGTGTGTTTGGAGTCAGTCCCTGTGGAGAAGAGTCTGGTTTGTCTGAGGATGCAGGGACAGTGAGGACCTTAGGAGTCTGTGATTCAAAACTATTTGAGTTCCAAGGTGATTATTTTCTCACATTATAACCTCAGGAACAGGAGTGATGGGTTAGAATTCTCATCGCTGTATGTTCCAAATATAAGGGGACTCACAAGAGGAGTCCCTGTGTGAGCTTCCCTGCAAACTGAAAGGGAAGCAGGAGCCCTTTTGTAGCTGAGTCACTGTGGCTTATCTGCAGCTCACCCATGTGTGTGTGTTCCACATGACATCAAATTCCTGTCACACATCCCTTCATTATTATATCTTTTATATACATCCACATATATGAATATATTGTATTTGTGCACATATATACTAATTGTGTCTGCATTGTGTGCTTGCAGATGTGTGTGTGTAAATGTATACATACATTTACAACATATGCACATATATATTCTATACACTGAACTCTGAATTGGGTACCTAAGTGGTAGTTGATGAGATCCTTGAGTTTCTAGGAGACACAGAGTTCCATTTCCTCACCAATGAGAAGTAGGTATGGTTACCACAGTGAACAGCAGGACCATATCAGTGTTCAGACTCATTTGACAGAGGACGTTAGTATCATTTAGTTAATAATGATGTTCCTAGAACTGAAATAGATAGGTAGCTATCTATTTTTTTTTTTTTTTACATCTGTATAAATAGAAATCTATGCTTGGCAAACACTTTGGCTTCCTACTGAAATTAACAGAGATGGAATGCTCCTTAGAAGCCACTAGATTACCGTGTGACGTGAGCTGCTTGCATGACCAGGTGTTATCTGATGAATGATGCGTGGATTTGGGCATTAACAGAAGCTCTCCATCATCAAACAGAAGAGGTAAATTTGAGATCAGGCTTCACCAGGTTCTCAAGGCACAAGTGAGTTGCATGAGGAAGAAGCTGGATGTCCATGACCCCAACCCCTGCTGCATTGTCTTTTCTCTGTCTCCCACAACTATGGCCTGTGCTACTATAGAGAAAATAACAGAGGGCTGACTTACAGAGGTTCCTGTATGGTATGCAGCCAACTCTGAGAGTTAAACTATTAGTACTACAGTCCTAATGTGGGACCGTCCTGCATAACGTGTGTGGTGAAAATTCTCTAATAGGTAACATTTGAGCTGAGTAGTTGGTTCATTTCACCTGGAACAGAAGGACAGAGTTGACTATATACTAACCTATGGGTTCTGACTCATAGTTTGGCTGTGTGGTCAGAGATTTGGAAGGAAAAATAAGAAAATTGGTGAAAGAAGGGCACCTGGGTGGCTCAGTAATTTGAGCCTTCAACTTCAGCTTAGGTTCTGATCTCATGATTCATGAGTTTGAGCCCCACTTCTGGCTCACTGCTGTCAGCACAGAGCCTGCTTTGGTTCTTCTGTTCCCCTCCTTCTCTGATCATCCCCCACTTCCTCTCTCTCTCTAAAAAATAAAATAAAGCTTAAATAAAATTGATGAAAGATGTTGGAGGAAGAGACATGTGAGTAGAAACCCCTCCAATGAGTACAGTGGTGGACAAAATTTGTTTTCCATGAAAATGCCTACCATAGTGTGTTGTCAAGAGGAAATGATATTAATAATCAGGTGGATGATGTGACATGTCTGGGGACAGTGGTCAGCCTTCTTGTCCATCCACTGGTAAACTGGTCCAGTGGGCTCCATAGCACATGTTGGAAAGTGTATGGTTATTCATGAGGTGATCACTGTGGATTTCCACTCACTGAAGCTGACCTGGCCACTTCTGAGGACCAAACTGCCAACGGTAGAGACCAAGCCTTAGTTCCCAGTAGGAGATCATTCCCTTGGGAATCTGCCTGGAGCCTGATGGCTGATTCATTACATTAGACCTCTTCCATCCTGGACAGGCTAGCTCTGTTCTTCTTGGAATAGACCTTTACTGTAGGTAGAGACTTGCTTACTTTGACTGCAGCGCTTCCTCCCAAACTATTACCCATGGATTTCCAGAGTGCCTCGCCCACTAATATTTCAGTGTGGTTTCTTCCCAAGGCACTCATTTCACGTGATATGAAGGGCTGCAGTGTGCCCATGCCCATGGAATTCCTTGGTTCAACCCTCTTCTCCAATACTCTGAAACAGCTGTCTTGAATGAATGGACTAATGGCCTTTGGCAGACTCAGTTACTGTGCTTGCCATGTGGAAATACCTTGTGTGTCTGGAGCAACATTTGGAGTAAATCTGTATCCAATATATGGTGGTGTTTGTCAGATAGCTAGTTGTTTGTCAGGAGTCAAGAGGTGGAACTGAGCATGTCCCTAGTCACTGATATTCCTGGAGGCCTGCTGCAAAATTATGACTGCCTGTCACCATGACCCTACACTCTGCTGCCCTAGAGGTACCAGTTCTAAATTAGATTTGCTTCCACCCAGTAACCCAACAATGATTCTGTTCTACTGAAAACTATGACTACCCCTTGTCGCTTTGAGCTTGTCATGTCTCTATGGATGTCTCTGTCTGTCCTTCCAGCCAGGTCTTCCATCCACAACAAATTCCCTAGCCAAGAAAATGTGACAGCCTCATCCTGCCTTCTGCATATGCACTCCTGATCCACAGGGTGCAGAGCCTGCCTGGAAATTGGGTTGGGAGTGAGGTCTGGGAATCTCAGATCTGGGCACCTGGGGCAGAGCTGCTGAATGTTTGTCCACCGTCCTCCTGGGGCTGAAGGAGAGTGTGCCAAAGATGGGGAGGGAGTTTGTGTCTCACTTTCCTCTCTGCCTTTGTCACTGTGAACATGTATACCACTGTTTCACACCTGACAGTAATAGTCGGCCTCGTCCTTGGCTCTGGTCCTGCTGATGTTTAGGGTGTCTGTGTCTTTGAAGTTGGAGCCCGAGAATCAGTCAGGAATCCCTGAGGGAGGCTTGCTATTGTCATATATGACCAGCACAGGAGTCTGTCCTGGCTTCTGCTGGTATCACTGAACACCAAAGG